CACACACACACACACACACACACACACACACACACACACACACACACACACACCTGTGTGTTCAGACATGCTTCTCCACAGAGAACCATCAGAAGACAAACATCTGTTCCTCTCATCATCTGAACTTTGTTCTTCCTTCCTGTCAACCAGATTTTCCTCCAACCAGTCTGAGTGAGAGAAGAGTTAAACTTGGCAGGAGGATGATCTGCTCCTCCTGCTCCTCCTGCTGCTCCTCACCTGGCTCCTCTTATTAAACAACATAAAGTGGGTTAGGTCGGGTTGAGTAACGGCTCGTTGAACAGAGGAAACCAGCTCCACATGTTTCTGCAGCAGCAGAGTGAAGAAGACCAACGAGGGGTTGGCCCGTGACGTGTGGAGTTGATGAAAGTCTTAACGCGACTCAGAGGTTCTGTCACATCTGGGCCAGATGTGGGTCAGTGGGTCCTGAAGGGCTGGCCCACCTCCAGACCCTGCAGCTGCAGGCAGCAGCTGGAGGAGCTGTAGATGAATTAAAGGAGCATCTTAAACTTCTTATGTTTTTTAACATGAGGAGGTTAAAGCTAACAGTTTTTACTGCAGTAACCCATCCTCAGCTCCTGTCTCTGGTCCTGGTTCTGGTTCTGGTGTGGAGCAGATTAAATTTATTTTGGCTGCTGCTGTGGGTGGTGTTCTTTCAGTTTCTGCTCAGAGTTCATGACCTGTCAGCTCAGAGTCTGCAGCTGCGTCTTTACAGGAAAGAAATGTTGATTTAACAGCTTTTAGCGGCTACGCTACAAGTTCTGAGAGTTCTGACAGGTCCGGTCCAGAAAGTTCTGAAGAATCTGCTGGTAGTTGTATTTGGAGACAACCTGAGGACTGAGCTGAGCTGACTGGAACGTTCTGTTGTTCCTCTTTTATTATCGGGAAGTTCTGATAATTCCTTGAAAAGCTTGCAGCTTCTTCCTCCTGCTCCTCCTCCTCATCACTGCTGCTGAGTTAAACTTTGAGAGGAGGAGCTGACACAAACCCAACATCTGTCCTCAGCAGGGGGAGAAGGAAACCTCTCCGGTGTTTGATAGAGCCGCTCACTTCCTGTTTGACTCACTCTTCATCCTTTCATCCTCCTCCTCATCCTTCCATCCAGGGTTATTGTAGTTCACTTAAATTAACTAAATAACAAAAACTGAAATAAAAAAACATTTTAGTTAACTGAAATAAAAAATTTTTTTTAAAATTATCTAGTAAAAGTTACTATGAATATAGTTAAAGATTTGTGAATAAATCAGGTAAATTTTATAAATCTAACTATATTCTTAGTAACTTTTACAAGATAATGATGAGTAAATATGACTTGAATTTGTAGCATTTAAATTTACTTAAACATTAGTGCAAATTGTTACGAGGATTTTTTCAAGTAAATCTTACAAGTTCTTTATAACATCACACATGCGTCAAGCACAATATTGTAGCATGACACCTCACAGCTACAGAGAAAGTGTAGCTCTTCTTGTAGTTCAAGACTTCACCACCAGGTGGTGGTTTTTGAAGAACCTTTATTGGATTCTTCTTCATGAACAACACAGACAAAGTGAAACTCACAGGTCTTATTAATGACCAGGCCTACCACTCTCACTTATGGTTACTTCTGCTGAACGCTTTAACACAAGTTAACAAATAATGAACACACAAATTAGAGGAACACAACAGACTAATTGCTGAAAGAACATTGTTAACCAATTCCCCAAAATGATTTAACAACAACAAACATGAATCCTACCCACAATCCTCCACTGCAGTCACATGACAAACAGCCAAACACAGCAGAATGCTACAATATGCATTCCCTGTTCCCTGACAACTAAATATCACCTACATTATGTCATCAAACTATTGCACAACAACAAATGTATTCAAGCAAAAGAAACCAGACAACTTATGTTTTATTTCCACCATGTCTTGTCCTCTCCTTGAAAAGTGAAGCAAGGGAATGAGGAGCAGCAGCCTTTGTGTGYGCATGCACCCTCAGTTTTAGCCCAGAAGAGTAGAAGTTACTTAATATATTCATGTTTATGTGCTGTCCAGAAAAAAAAAAACACTTAAATATTACTGGTAAAACAATATTAGCATTTACTTTTTTTGTACAGTAATATTGATATATAATATAATGCATATTGTTTATTTAGTAAATTCTAGTAGTTTAGAGATTTTGATATTTTTTTGTAAAATTTAAAAAGAATAATTAAATGAATGTTACTACACCAAAAAGTTTGTTTTTTTCATTGTACAAAGATAAACTAATACTGGAACTAATACAAATTAAACTAAAACTAAGCATTAAAAATGCAATAATAACTAATAAAAACTAGCAAATCCACTGTAAAAACTAATTAAAACTAATTGAATTAAAAGAATAAATTCACAACTAAATAAAACTAAACTATAATGAAAAATCCAAAACTTTTATAACCTTGCCTCCATCCTGTCTGTCTGTCTGTCGGTGCAGATGAAGCTGCCGGTCCTGCTGCTCGGTCGCTCTGCAGACCTGCGCCCCGGAGAGTTCGTAGTGGCCATCGGCAGCCCCTTCTCCCTGCAGAACACCGTCACCACGGGCATCGTCAGCACCACCCAGAGGGGGGGCAAGGAGCTGGGGCTCCGGAACTCCGACATGGACTACATCCAGACGGATGCCATCATTAACGTGAGAGTCGACCAACCGACCTGAGCAAACGTGTCGTGTTTACATCATAAAGCCCTCCTGATGAGGAAGAGGAGGGCTGATCTTCATTTTCTGTCTGTTATATTTAACTTTATGGCAAAAAAACTGAGGAAGATGTTTGACATGTTTGTTTTTTTCTTACAGTACGGCAACTCAGGAGGACCATTAGTCAATCTGGTGAGTTTAAAATGAATGTTTTTATTTGTTACATGTAGTGCTGGGCACAGTTCCCTTAAAGCACTAATAGGGGAACTAATTTCCTGTTTAGTGCTTTAGGGCTTTTGCTAATTTCTTAATTCATTAGTGGATTAGCACTTGCTAAATTTATGGGATAAATTTATAAACACTAATGGAGTTATTTAAATATTCTTGATCAATTTAATTGTCAACAGTTAAGGGTGAAAGCTGTCACACGTGTTGGGTCACTTTTCAAACTTTTTTGCTTCCGACCCGCAAAATAACAGTTGCAGACACTCGTGACCACATACAGTATATTACTTGTTTACGTAGCAAACTTTGCTAATAACTCTGTTAAACATGGGAATAATAACTATATACAAACAATATCTATGATACTAATTTTTATTCAATTATGATTTAAAGAAATTTCAATAATCATAATGAAAATATTGCATTAGCATTTTTTTGCATTTAAATTGATGTCTGGAAATCACCTGGGGACACTCACTTGATGTTTTGTGACCCACAAAGAGGTCCCGACCCCAAACACTACACTTGATTTTTTAAGTGTATTAGTGCTTTAGAATTAGGGGACCTAAATATTAAAGTTAGCGCTTTACAGTTAGTGCAACTAATTTTTAGATTAGTGCTGCCCACCACTGGTTACATGTTTTCAGTTTGTGACCAAAGTAAGAAAATATTGCTTACTCAGCTGGGACGAGCTGTTTGCTGCAGTGCATTCTGGGTAAACATCTGTCCTCTGGTCTGGTTCTGGGCCAGAAGTCTTGTGGTTTCTGTAGATGAAACAAACCTGAGTCGAGCTGCCATGTTGGTTTTACATGCTAATAAATAATAATAAATTGAAGTTAACTGCTTCATCTGAGCACCACTAACAAACACTAACTGAGCTCTACCTGGTATTTCCTGCATAGAAACAGCGTTTTAACACGTTCTCTTATAAACACTGAAAAGTACTATAAGTACCCCTGGCTAAATGTAAAATAAATACTAGAGAAACACTATTAAAAATAAAAATAAAAGCGTTTTACTCACTGATGAGTTGTGGTAAATAGCCGCCATCTTGAATTCTGAATTGGAAAAGTTGTCCCACTTTCTGACAGAATTCCCACTTGAGGTGGCTTTCCAGTTTAAAATTTCCCACTTCCCAGTTCAACTGGGTTGCAGCAAAGGTACCAAATTAAAAATGCAGCTAAATGGAGACGTCGTAAATTTCGCCGGCTACTTTTGAACGCTGTGCACCTTCACCTAGTGCTGGGATCTGGGTAAAATAAACAACATGCATTATGGGAGATGTAGTTGATGATCAATGCTGGCTTTAAAGCAGCTTATGCTTATTTTAAGACATTACTTTTGAAGTTTTTCCGGGCCACATAACACGCAATGGTGGGCCACATTTGGCCCACGGGCCTTGAATTTGGCAAGGGGTTTTAGGGAGAAAAGCTCTAGTGATCTGAAAATAAGAAAAATACTAGATTGTAGTCTGAATATTCTCATATTAAGTGAAATAATCTGCCAGTGGAATAAGACAGTTACACTTGGCAATTTAATAATCAACATTTTTTGTTTAGTATATTAGTCTCAAAACAAGATAAAAATGCCGACTGAGGCATGCAGAGTCTGAGATAGAGCTCATTTCAATGAGCAGTGCACGGTCTGACCTTCAGGGTGAAGAGCAGCTGTCTTAAATATTTCCACTGGTGAAAAATCTTTATTTCTGCAGCATAATGAGCTCCAGATAGCGAAAAAATCCTGTACAAGCAATGGGGCACAATATTTCTGTATTTAAGTTTTAATTTAAGGTTTTTATATTCTCACCTTATAAAATCTGAAGTGGCATTTAACCTCCTGCTAACAAACCCAACATGAAGTCGTCAGCTGACGTGTTTCTAAACGTGGAATATCTGAAGTGTTCCCGTTCAGACTGATGAGAGTTTGGTTCCCGCAGGACGGGGAGGTGATCGGCATCAACACTCTGAAGGTCACCGCAGGAATCTCCTTCGCCATCCCGTCAGACAAGATCCGACAGTTCCTGGCCGAGTCACATGACCGGCAGGCCAAAGGTTCGTCTTATTTATAACTCTATGTCAAAGTCTAAATCCATCTCAGGCTACAGACTGAGGTTTTATATTTACTTATAAGAAGAAAATCTTGGCATAATTTAAAGTTTAGTAAACCGGTTCATTTTATGGAGAATATTTCTGTTTTTCAGGTAAAACTTCTCTAAAGAAGAAATACATCGGTGTCAGAATGATGAGCCTCACTCCAACGTGAGTTCCTGACAGTTTACGTAAACATCAGCAAGGTGAACGAACAATAACTGAGCTCTACCTGGTATTTCCTGCATAGAAACAGTGTTTTAACACGTCTTATAAACACTGAAAAGTACTACGTGTACGACTGACTAAATGTGAAATACAGTAAATACTACAGAAATACTGTTAAAAGTAAAAGTAAGAGAGATTTACTCACTGATTAGCTGTGGCGAGTAGCTGCTGTCTTGAATTTTGAGCTTTAACACTTTCCGAAAGGGAACTCACACCGGAGGTTTAAATTTACGACTTGTAAGTGGGAAATTCCCACTTCCCAGTACAACTTGGCTGCACCACAAGTGGCCAGAGAAAAAAAGGCAGTGAAATGGAGAATGACAGCTACTGTGCAGCTCCACCTAGTGGTGGGAGGCCACCATTTTGTGGGTAAAATAATCAACATACATTATGGGAGATGTAGTTTATGGCTTTATACAAGCTTATTTTAACACATTTATTCAGTGGTGGGCACAGTTCCCCTAAAGCACTAAAGCACTAATAGGAGAACTAATTTCCTGTTTAGTGCTTTAGGGCTTTTGCTAATTTCTTAATTCATTCGTGGATTAGCACTTGCTAAATTTATGGGCTAAATTTATAACCACTAATTGAGTTATTTAAATATTATTGATCAACATTATTGTCAACAGTTGAGGGTGAAAGCTGTCACACGTGTTGGGTCACTTTTCAAACTTTTTAGCTTTCGACCCACAAAATAACAGTTGCAGACACTCGTGACCACATATATTACTTATAAAATATTGTCTCATGTTGACTCTGAGGAATGTTCCATGGGTCAGATGGGTTTTTACTGCTTTAGAATGAGATTTTGCTAAATTTTTAAGCGTGTTAATGCTTTAGAATTAGGGGACCTAAATATTAAAAGTTAGTGCTTTAGAGTTAGTGCAACTAATTTGTAGATGAGTGCTGCCTACCAGACCAGAGATGCAGATCTTTGTCTTCAGATTCAGCTTTCTTCACCTCGACGGACTGAGGCAACGGTCTCATCACTGAGGAGTCTGTTGTGTTTTTGTTCATCTGAGGCCAGATGAGGTTTTTTTTTTTTAAGTCCTGGAACTGAAAGAGGACTGACTTTGTTTTACCATGACTGTAGAGCCCTGCGGCCAAGTCTGACTCCGAGCTGGATCAGAACCGTTTGAACCCTCCAGAGTCCCGGTTTCACCCCGGCCAGTTGGATTGGATCGGTCGGGTGTTGACAGCGATTCGCAGAAAAGCTCATGCTCTGGACCGTTTGTTTCCTCCTCAGGCTGGCGAAGGAGCTGAAGGAGCGGCAGGCGGATTTCCCTGACGTCACCTCGGGAGCGTACGTCATCGAGGTCATCAGCCGGACTCCAGCTGAGGCGTGAGTGTGGATTTGTATCTTCGCTCCGAGCAGCCAGCCCTTCCTGTAAATGTTTACACGGGTCTGGATCAACAGTTTCAGATGTTTCTGAAGGTTTTAGCTGCTTCTTTCTTTCAGTTTCGCTTAGGAGACAGCGGCAGCTGCATGTCGCTGTAGTTTCACTCAGACGTGCGTTTTTGTTTTTGTCTCCACAACAGAGCCGGGCTGAAGGAGGGCGACGTCATCATCAGCATCAACAGCGAAGCCGTCGCCTCGGCCAGCGACGTCAGCGCCGCCATAAAGCGCGACGACAAGCTGCGAACCCTGGTCAGGCGAGGCAACGAGGAYGTCATCCTCACCGTCGTCCCCGAGGAGATCGACCCTTGACCTCTCAGCGGCCGAAGAGGTCGACCAATCACAAACTGGCTCTCGTTACTTCTCAACCAATCAGGAACATTTCGAAGTTGGAGGTGGAGCCACTCCTGGAGCTTGTAATTATCTTCCTTTCTCAGTTCCTCACAGACTCTGAGGTTTGTTACTGTCGTCGTGTTTATTCCTCTTTAATCTGTATTTACCCGCTGACATCACTTCCTGTATAATCCCTGACAGAGAGGCTCTTTGTTTCTCAAAGCATTTTTATCTCTTAGTGTTTCAGGACAATGCTGCCAAAAATGGGAATAAATTGTTTTTTTTTTTAATCTTGTGTTGTGGTCTGATCAGGGTTTGAAGTGTTCTGTTCTTCACCGGTTCTGTTGGGTTTAACTCAAAGTGAGGGGGCTGACTAATTCAGATATTTCAAGTTCAGAGACAAGTTCAGGCTTTATTATTGAGGACTTCGTTTTTAATCAGAAGTGGATCTTTAAATCAGGTTTGACCACAAAAATCCCATCAAAGCATTTTTATTGTCTTAAACTCTCTTTCATCTTAACTAAACTTCTGGATCTTGCCTCCCGTGGTCCAGGAACCAGACCTCAGGTCAGACCAAGAATTTGGTAACACGTTATGATCATTAAGCCTTACTTAATCATTAATAAATGGTTAGTTAACCTTGAAAACATCATTATTAAAAGTGATTAATACTTAATAAACTATAAATTAACACATTAATGCTTTAGCTCTAAAGGCTAACTACTTCCCAAACCAACATACTTAATGCTTAACTCACAAATTAACTATTCTATGTACTGTGTATGTTAATTCATGTGTAATTAAGCATTAATAAACAATGAGTATGTTGGTTTTTGAAGTAATTAGCCTTAGAAATGTTSATTTCTATCTTTTTAAGTATTTATCATCATTAATGATATTTTTAAGGTTAACTAACTATTTATTAACAATTAAGTAAGGCTAAATAACGCTTAATATTATAAAGTGTTACCAAATTCTTAGTCTGACCTGAGGTCTGGTTCCTGGACCAGGGGAGGCAGGATCCAGATGTTTAGTTAAGATGGAGAGTTTTAGACAATAAAAGCACTTGTTCATATAAATGCACTTTCACATCATGTGTTAAGACATGTAATCATTTCAAATGTTCTCCAACCATTAATGCAGGTCTAACACATTTACATACATATACACAGTATATAGAATAGTTAATCCATTAGTTATTAAGCATTAATAAACAATGACTAAGTTAGTTTTGGAAGTAATTAGCCTTTATGGGTAAATCATTAATAAATGTATTAATTTATAGGTTATTAGGTATTAATCATTAATTAATGATATTTCAAAGGTTAACTAACCATTTATTAATGACTACGTTAAGAGTAAATAAGGTCTCTGGTCTGGGAACACCTCAGGATCCTTCAGGAGGATCTGGGTTTCTGTCCCCAACCACGGATAAGAAGATGGATGAAGAAAACTGTTACTTTAATGAATAGAACAAAAACAGTTGTTTGTACTAACCACATTTTTAATTACTGACAGTTAAACAACACAAGTCAAAAATGATCTGAACAGTTTACAGACATGTACAGTTATTCAAACATTAACAGTTCATTATTAGAGATGACACTCCTGTAAGAACAGGTGAGATGTTTCACATTATTATAACTTTTAAAAGTTTGTATAAGTTTAAAGTGTAACACTAACACTTKTTTGTGTTAAAACCAAAGTTCTGCTGGAGAAGATCTCAGCTGCATTAGTTTCTGTCACTTCTGACCACATTTAAGATTCATTCAGGTGTAAAGAAAACCTTTAGCTGTGTTTCTGTTAGCAGTGAGATCAGGTTTATTAGTCTGTCAGCCCCTCAGACCGGGGGCGGTCCTGGTGTCCTCCCCTCTGACGGTCCAGCCGCCACCGACCCCGCCGTGGACCTGCTCATGTCTCCGTGGTTAAAAAGGCCCAGCAGGACCCGCTCCAGCCTCTGCTCCAGAGCGTCTAGCCGCCGGTCCACGTGCTCCTTCAGCCTCCTCTCCATGTCCTCCAGGCGCTGCTCCATGGCTGAGTCCAAGTCCCTGAAGAGAAACCAGAACAAGTCTTCATCCAGTCCTCGTTCTTCCTTATCCATCCAACATACCTTTTAATCTCACTCAGGTTAATCTGCTCTGATTTAAGGCAGAAAGTTTATAAAAAAAAAGTGACAACAGTTGTTTCAAATTCAAACAATTTGCAACAATTTTTAGTTCTAAAACATCAATAATCTATAAAACTCCTTTAGATTAGAAATGTTCTGATAAACTAATAATAAGAACAGATATTAACCAAACCTTTAGAGTTTTTAGCTGTTTATTATTTGATGAGCTGTGAGGAACTCGTCCCGTTGAGCTGCGTTTGTCTTCTGGACACGGAGTCCGGATCAGCTGATCCCATCAGCCCACGGTGCGGCTCGGTTCTGACAAAGAGCCTCTTTATTCGGCTGCTTTCAGCTCTGGAGTCAAACTGACGCCGGCTGGAAGTCTGAACGTTTTATCATTCACTTGTTGACGATAAACAAACTGTTGTCTTTTAAAATCTCCTGTAAATATCTGGTAAACAAACAAGCTTTTGCTCTACAAACATCAGCTGCTGAGTCAGCAGTTATAGACGGACACGTCGGTGTTTACCCAGAATGCACAGCAATCAGTCGGCACGACGGTGGAGGGTTGATGGTTTGGGCTGCGTTTGATGCATAAAGCCTCAGAAACAAAATAAATTGTTTTGCTCTGACAGAAGAAACCCCCGCTGCTGCCCTCGGGTCAAACYGGGACCTCAGCTTGACCCGAGGGCAGCAGGAGGGTTCAGCTCCACTCACCACATTCCGTTCCTCATCTTCTTCCTCTCCGCCGCCTCCTCAGCGTCCGCCAGCCGCAGCTGCGTCACCTGACCGCAAACGCTTTGGAGCACGGGCAGGAGGTCGGGGCTCAGCGCCTGTTCGTGGCCCCGCCCCTTCAGGAAGTGCGACATCATCTCCTCCAGCTGGGCGTGGCTCGTCGGACCAACGTTCTCACTGCTGGCTGGGGAGGGAACACAGATTTTATTTACAGCGTCAGAGTAGAAGAGGTCAGGACTGCGGGTGTTCAGTGTAACAGCAACATGCAAACATCACACGACTGATTGTGATGATATTTACAGGTGTTATTAGAGCTGAGGTCGGACAGTGAGAGGTCCGGAGACGAGGAGCCCTCTGACATCCCTCCACCCTGAGCTGCGGTCACGTCTGCAGGCCTGACGGACTCTGGAGGCTAAAAACAATAAAAACTGTCAAATATACAGATTCAAAACACTTTATTTAGATTAAACTAATGAGTCTGAAACCCACAGGCATTTAGATTTCAATCTGAGCAGCTGAAAGTCAACGTGTTCATTTATTTCAGGGTTATTTTAAAACAGAATCAAGACCTACAGAACTGTGGAGCTAAACTGGGGCCACAAAGTCCGTTAAAAACCTTTCAAATCTCAAAACTAATTATTTTAAAATGAAAAATAATTTTGAAATTAAATACTAATTTCAAACTGGAAAAATAAATTGAAAAACAATTTTGAAACTGAAAAGGTTGCAATATACAGTATATACACACACACACACACACACACACACAAAAATATATTTTGTGTAATTTTTGAATATATGATTCAAGAGCCTGCCATATTTTTGATTATGATAAAATGTCCTGCCATTCTTTAATTATATGATACAATGACCTGCCACATTTACATGACACAATGGACTACCATATATTTTAATTATATGACATAAAGGCCTGCAATACATTGTTCATAATATGATACAACTGCATGCCACATAGTTAGTTATATGATACAATGGCATGCCATACTTAATTACGTGATACAATGGACTGGTATATTTTCTAATTACATGACACAACAACCTGCCATATTTTTAAAATTATATGATAAGCCTGCCATACATTTTATATTATATGACACAACAAACTGCCATACTTGTTAATAACATGATACAACAGCAAGTAATATGATTCAATGGCCAGGCAGCCATACCTTGATTATGAGATCCTATGGCCAATGGCATGCCATCTTTTTTAACTAAATGACACAACAGCCTGCCATATATTTCAGTAAATATAATATAGTGGCATACTTTTTAATTGTTTGATAAAATAGTTTTGAACTTGTTTTAGAGTTTCAAATCTTTGTTTTATTATTATTTCAAATTCATTTTTCAGTTTTAAAACCTTTTTTAAACAAACTTTCATGCAGAACTGGAGCTAATTATATCAAAACCTCCTCAAAGGGGAAAAATTAAGCAAGAGTAAAAACAACCTTTGATAATAAAATGATTCTAACRGAACAAAACCGCTGATAAAACCAGCTGCTGCTCTGGATATTTCCTCTCACTTAGTCTCCAGTTTGCTTCAATCTAAATGTTCAGATTTAGTTTTTATTGTAAAAACCTTTATTTGATGTTTATTAATGGTGTGATGTAAAGAAGCTGCTCCTCCACCTGTCAGGATCAGAAACAAACAGAACCGGTACCGTGACGTCTGCAGGCTGAGGCAGGTTCCTGAAGGCGGCTGCAGACGCTCCGACTCCTCCAACCAGAGCAGAGAGAGCTCCGCCCCCCATCAGGAGAGGCAGGAACCCCCCCAGAGAACTGGTCTGGTTCTGGACAAACACAGTCATTCAGAGCAGGTTTTAATACATCTCGACTTGCGACCCTACAAAATAAAAGCCTAACACAAACAGGAGAGTTTAAAACCCTCACCCTCTGCTGGAACTGCACCATGTCCATGAGATGTTGGGCTCCAGGAGACAAGCTCGTTCCCATCTCCTCAACCAGACTCTGAACCTGCTGCAGGTCTATACCGGGACCACGAACCGGACCGGGCTGCAGCTCCTGAAGGCCCACGATGATGCGACAAACCAGAACACTGGTCCTCCCTGCCAGAGAGAGCAACTGGAGCAAGCGGATGAAAACGTAAGACTCAAAGCAGCGGGTTGGTAAMTCTTCACGTTCCTGTCGACCCACCTTCAGATCACAGGCTGAGGAGGGACGATCAAGGACCAGCTGCGTCCTGTAGAAAGGACCCCTGTCTCCACTGAGACACACAACAAAATAATTATCTGGAAAAACGTTTTTATTATCTTCCTGTCTGTCCAAAATCAGTCTGTCTACCTGTCTGAATGGACGCTCTTATCCTCCGCCCCCCGTACAGTCCCGCAGTACTCCCCCAGCTGGTCGTACAGCTCTACGGTGCGAGCCTCGCTGATGACCARCAGGCGGCTGATGGCGGCGGAGGAGCTGCAGCTCAGAGCGAGGACGCAGGGCGAGCCTTCCTCCACCTGCTCCAACAGAACCGGATCCACCCTGCAGAGGACACAGATCGAAGCTCCGTGAGCTGCGGTCATCAGCAGCGCTGAGTCATCTTCACCCGTCGACCCACTTTTCTCTGTCTGACTGGCTGAGATCCTCTTCTTCATCTACGTTTTTGTTGCTGAGGTGAACAGGAAGCAGGACGTCTGCTAGGCAGCGCCCCTCGGTCCGACAGAACCAAGCAGCTCCACTCACACCGATGTCCACCATGATGCTGAGGACGAACCTGAAACCTTCAAGGCATCAAAACACAAAACGATGGAGAGATAAACAGAAAATGATCAAATAATAATGGAGGACAAATTTTACTTTAATAAAATAAGTTCCAMAAATTTATTGAAACGGAATTGATTCAACAAAACTTTAATTTTGTTGAGTCTTTCTAAGAGACTCATTGTGATCTCAAAAACAAAAACGTGCTTTTATTTTAAGAAGTTATCAATTCACAACTATTGAATTAACAATTAAAAGGCAAAATCAACAACAACAGGTTTCCTGTCAGAATTAAACAAACAGCTGTTTTAAGTTTCAATATTTTGAGGTTTATAGTCTTATTTTAATAAAACCAGATATTTTCCTAATGAAACTTTAACGCTAGCTTGCTAACATGACACATTAAGGACAGATTTGTTTCATTTTTACCGTCAAACTGCGTCAGTTTTAACCGTTAATCGGCTCCTCTGTGTTTCCTTCACCTCATGTCTTCAAACGGCTTTAAAAAAATACAATAAATCTACAGTTTCAGACAGAAATGATGAAAAAAATCTCCACTGAATTTTTTATCCCGGATGATTTGAAGCAGCTGTGTCACTCAGGACGCGACGGTGTTTTGGTCTGACGTCATCAAGCGGCGACTCATCCCGGTTCCGCAGAATGTGAGCAGAAAACGCTTTTATTTTACTTAAACGACTAATTAGCTGAGGGATATTTTACAGAAAATATAAGTATTTTTATGTAYAACCATTGTTTGTTAGTGCAGCTTTGATTTATCGTCTACAAAGTGTTTAATATTTAGTATTTAGGTGCTTTTTTTGTTTAATTGTTTTTGTGTTTACAATTTGCAGAGTGACGCATTTTATTTCAGCAAGAAGTATAAACTATTTCATTATGATGTTTTATAATATTGTCCTTTTCAAATCTTTGCTCTCTGAGATAGCCTCAGGTCAACAATATATAGGCTGTGTTGTGCAAAGGTTTTGATCCAGTMCTCATTTCTTAATATTTTCCTTAAGCAGACAGACACATTTAGTTGTTTTTCTGCTTTTTTTCCCTTATTTTTTTTGTTACGAACAGCTTTTTTGTAAATAAAAATGTTCTTAAAACCTGACACAGGTAACAGTGATAGAAATAAAACTGTATTTTTTTATTTTTATTTACCAAATTAGATGAATTAAATGGCTGTTTGTGGTAACGAATGTGAGATTTCATTTCACAAAGAACACGAGTTTAGTATACTGTGCACTGAAGGTAAATTTGATATTTGATGCTCTATTTCTCAATGTTTTCCCAGAGAAAAGCTAACACCAGCTGCAGATGGACTTCACAGAGTGCTACTCAGACACGGTGTCCAGTGTTGCTGCTGCAGCTCGGTGTGGCAGCAGAAGGCAGGTCAGGAGGCTGATAGAGCGCGGCGGCAGCATGGACTGTCGAGACAACCGGGGCTGGAACGCTCTGCACGAGGCGGCAGCAGCCGGCAGTAGGGAGTGTGTGCAGGAAATACTGTCTGCAGTCGCCGGTAAGAAAAGTTGGAACGTTTTTTTCTTAGTTAATGCTTTAAATTTTCATAGATGACACGTTTTTTTGCCTCTCTGGCTGCAGCCCGTGTCTCCAGGCGTGGTGATTATGTGAACTCTTTAACTCACGAGGGCGAGTCRGCGTGTTACCTGGCGGCACAGCGAGGACACCTGTCTGTGGTTCGACTCCTCCTGAAGGCTCACGCTGACATCAACCAGCTGACTAATGACTTGTCCTGTCCTCTGTACGCAGGTAGAACTCTTCATACATCTTGTCGCTGATGCGTGTTTCTTACTTTGGACGGTAAAGATACAACTTGTTTTCCTCCAGCTGTCGACCACGGACACCAGGAGGTGGTTAAGCTGTTGATCAGCAGAGGAGCAGAGGTGGACCGAACTCACACGGCTTCCTGTTGGACCTGCCTTCATCAAGCTGTTTACAAGGTTAATGATCAGAAGAGCTAAAACCCTCGCTGCGCTCTGAGACGCGTTTCAGAATTCAGATGTTTCCTCTTCATCAGGGTCACCGTGAGGTCGTGCAGATTCTAGTTAACGTTTGCAACCTGGAGGCTCTCGACGACCACCGGATCTCCCCTCTGTTTGTGGCTGCGCAGTACGGCCGGACGGAGTGTCTGCAGATACTCATCAGTGCTGGTGAATACTTTGATTTATGCAGTTTTCTCTGCRTGTAGCAGAAAGACCAGTCGGTGTTCAGAGGAGTCAGTCGAGGAGCTTCGTCTGATCAGGATTCCTGAACGCCTCCTTTTGGAGGTTTTCCAGTCATTTCACTGAGCRGACCCAGAACTCTCTGGAGGGATTATAAATCTTCTCTGGTCTGGGAACAACAGGAGGAGCTGGAGAAGGARGTCTGGGYCTGCTGCCGCCTCGATCCAACTACAGATAAGAGGCAGAAAATATGATATTGATATAATGCTGAATATGATATTTACAAATAGACAAAGAACTGTTAATATTCCATTTAGAGTTGATGATGCAGAGATTGATAGAGTCAGTAAGGTGAAGTTTTTGGGTGTTATAGATGAGAAGCTGACATGGAAACCTCATGTAAATATTTAAAAAATTAAAATAGCTAAATCTATTGCATTGTTTTACAAAGTAAGGGACTTGTTTAATGATAAAGGTCTGTATATGTTATACAACACATTAATTGTTCCACACCTGGTTTATTGTGTTGAGGTATGGGGTAAAGCATGTAAGACAATTACACATCCTGTTATTGTTTTGCAGAAAAGAGCTATAAGAATTATCACTCGAAAACATTATCATTATTCGTCTATATTGTTTTGTAAATTGAAATTGTTGAAATTTAATGATTTGATTGATTATAGTATTTTGTTATTTATGTATAAAGCTCACCAAAACACATTACCTTTAAACATTCAGATAAACTTTATTAAGAGAGAGAGCTGCTATAATCTTAAGGGAATAGAAATGTTCATAAAACATAAATTTAGAACCAGTCTGGAAGAACGGTGCACCTCAATCCAAGGAGTCAGATTGTGGAATAATCTGGAAGAGGATGCTAAAAATGTTAGAACAATGTATGTTCAAGAAAATTATAAAAGTGGAGCTTTTGAGGAAACATGAAACAGTTTAATATGTATTCATGTAAATTTGTGTTCTAGAAGGATTTGACTTTTCTCGTTTTGTTTTATGTTAATTGAAGGTTAGTATTGTTTGAGTTTATATTGAGGAAAAAAGGGTCAGATATAAGATTTTTTCTTCTCTCTGCTTTCTTTTTTATTGTATTTGTGTGTTTTTTTCTTTTTTATATTTGTACATAGAATAGGAATTAAATTGAAAAAAAAAAGTTAAGACAAAGTAAAGTAGTTAACTTCCTTGACTCAGATGAGATAAACTAACTTTACTAAAAAGCAAAGATAGAATTAAACTCAGTATCTTTACTCCCATCTTAAACCTGAAATAAAAACATTCCTGTTTGGTGTTGTTGTTCTTCAGGTGCTTGTGTGAACACCCAGGCAGCTGATCTGGCCACGCCGCTGTTGATCGCCTCTCAGGAGGGCCACCGGGCCTGCGTGGACCTGCTGCTGGACCACGGTGCTGATCCRAACATGGCCTGCAGCCTCGAGTGGCCTCAGCTTCCTGTTCATGCTGCGGCTGAGTTCGGACACATCGGGTTGGTTTTGTGACCTCGGTGATTTATTGCATTTGTTTTCATCCTGTATGTTTTAACGGTTGCGTGTTCTGTAACCCAGGATCCTCAGGAGGCTGATAGACGTCACGGATCGGTCATGTGACCGTGGCGACGGCATGGTGAGCCCGTTGTACGTGGCCATCAACGGTGATCAGACCAGCTGCATCCAGCTGCTCCTGGAGGAGGGATTCAGTCCAGATGCTCAGGACTGCACGCAAACCCTGGGCTTCTGTTCTCCGCTCTCCCTGGCGTTATTTCATTCAGAAAACAAACCGCGCAGGTGGGCGGGTCCCTTTCACCTTCCTGAACACGTCTAACAGAATAACTACTGACGTGGTGTCATTATGTTGCGGTATGAGGGCCAAAATTAAGGCTATTGTGCAACCAGCAGTTGCTACATCCTTGTAGCAGGAGGCTATATCTGTTCCTAAGTCAGCTATTGATCTGATTAATGAGAGGCCGGCACCGCTAACWGAGCAGCTGACCCCGCTAACTGAGAGGCCGGCGATGGCAAATGAGAAGGAGACTATTCATTTTTGTTAGCATCAGAGAGGCTAGCAACTAGCGTGGATAAGCTGGTGTTAGCATGGGAAAGGCTAGAGTGGATAAGCTRGCATTAGCATTGGAGAAGATAGCGACTAGCATGCCTAGGCTGCTCACCTACTTTATAAATGCTAGCTTACTCGTGCTAGTCGCTAGCCTCTTCAATGCTAATGCCAGCTTATCCATGCTCGTCATTAACCTCTCCAATGCTAATGCCAGCTTATCCATGCTAGTCGCTAGCCTCTTCAATGCTAATGCCAGCTTATCCATGCTAGTCGCTAGCCTATCCAATGCTAATGCCAGCTTATACTTGGTAGTCGCTAGCCTCTCCAATGCTAATGCCAGCTTATCCATGCTAGTCGCTAGCCTCTCCAATGCTAATGCCAGCTTATCCATGGTAGTCTAACCTCGCCAGTGCTAATGCCAGCTTATCCATGCTAGTCGCTAGCCTCTCCAATGCTAATGCCAGCTTATCCATGCTAGTCGCTAGCCTCTCCAATGCTAACGCCAGCTTATCTTTGGTAGTCGCTAGCCTCTCCATTGCTAATGCCAGCTTATCTATGCTAGTCGCTAGCCTCTCCAAAACTAATGCCAGCTTATCCACGCTTGTCGCTAGCCTCTCCAATGCTAACACAAATGAATAGTCTCCTCGTTTGCCAGCACCGGCCTCTCAGTTAGCAGTGCCGGATTAATCAGATCAATAGCTGGTTTAGGAATAGATATAACTGATGGCTGCGCAAAAGTCCTTATTTTAGCCCTCATCCCTCAACATAATAAAAGGCCCATGTGTGTTTCTCTGCCTGTCAGCAAAATATCTCATCAACTGAATTTAAATCATTAGATGAAAATCTACAATAGATTGTAGAACCTGCTTCTAGATGGCCGCCACAATTAGCTAACTTTATAAATGTCTCTGGCTGTGTTCTAATTCAGCTGCTGGGTCATTCTGTAACAAAACACCCAAAAAATGGAGAAATTTTAACCCAACCWAATATTTTATATTGTGACATCTTTATTTTTATTTTATTTATTTTTTCAGTGACTCAGTAAAGCTGCTGCTCGCTGCAGGAGCAACCTTGGGTGCAGAAGAATGGACGTATGTCTTGGCCACAGACAGAACAGACCTGCTGGATCTGGTTCTGGACCACCGGTGGATCCCTCGGCCCGAGGCTTTAACCTCAGACCCTTCTTCATCACGTCATCATCATCATCATCATCATCATGAGAAGACGGCGTTCCGGCTGCAGGAGCTGAGGGAACTGGTCTGCGTGGCTCTGAGTCAAGAACGTTTTGCTACCTGTTGGCTCCCTGTGGTCTTGAGGGCCGGACTGGACCCGTCTTTGCTGCTTCACCCTCACATGTGAGTTTGTGATGCGTTCAYTCAGTCTCAGACTTTATTTCTGCCTGACTGGTGTTTAACCCTGTTCTCTTTTCCTCCAGGCTGGAGCAGGCAGACKGCCAGGTGTTGAACTACCTGCTTCAGTTTGTGAACTGCTCCACTCTGTCTCCTCCTCTGAAGCTGATTCTGGATCAGCGGCGGGCAGACAAGTCCTGGGATCCGTGCCCTAGTTTTGGTACAAACCTGCACTACAGTTTTTATTTTACTAGTGTATTGTGTGAATGCTGAGTCAGCATGTTTTCCTGTTTTAGTTTCTTCAGCTTGTTCAGGACAAATACTTTCATACTTCTGAATGATTTAACTTTATTTTGTGCTCTTTGAAATCTATTTCAATATTTTGTTCTGATTGTTTTAACTTTATTAGTTCAGTCTCAAAAATATATATATTTTTTCGAATTGTATTCTCTGCTCTTTCCTCTCTACAGATTCGGTTCCTYGTCTGTCCCACATCTGCCGGCTGAAGATCAGAGACGTTCTGGGACCAGACCTACTGATGAGGACAAACGTGGTCCAGCAGCTGCCCATTCCCTCCCTCCTTCATGATTTCCTTAAGTTCAGAGATGCTCAGGACCTTTCCTAYCTGCACACACCTCCCTCACCTGTTATAAATCGAGTTCAGAGATACCGCAGTGCGCACCAACACCAACATGTTCTGTGACATCATCGGGTTTCCTCAGGTTTTCATTTAAAAATCACACACATGTTAAAACCCATACTTTTATTTATTTAAGTCCCATAAAAATAAAATTTATGTTTGCAAATGTTTTTGTGTCTGCTTTGGGATAACAGGAATTTTCAAATATATTTCTAGATGCTTTGATGACTGGAAAAATACATAACGGATACAGGAAAATTAAAAACATTACTAAAATATTAAAAGGAACAAACAAGAAATTATATGAGCAAAACTTTTTTATTTATTTATTTGTTTGTTTATTTATGTTGTCTTGCAAACAGCGAGAAAAGCAGCTAACGTTTAAAACAAAAACAACAGAAAATGCTTTATTTTATTTTGAATAGCTCTAATTTCATCTGCTTGTGATGTATATTTTTGTCTGCTGTGATTGGAAGAAAAGGCCCTTTGYTGAATTCTGATTGGTGCAGACAGTTGTCATTTAATCCCGAGGGCAGCTCTGATTGGTGGATAACAGGTTTTCTGGGAGTTGTAGTTGAACAGCAGGAAGTAGCAACGACGTTGGAAGCGAGCTTGTCTGAGGCGTTTACGTGATATAAAATAACATTTTTTTAAACATAAAGTGGTTTCGCCAGAAGTTTAAGAAGGATATGCCTTAATGTATTTCATACGTGAGTATGTTAAATCTCGAATTTGTCCTCGGGGGCGTGTGTTTTATTGTGAATTGAACGCTGTGTTGTTGTAGCCTGCTAGCTCTGCTCGTGTTGCCATTCAGCCTCCAGCTTCCCAAGACAAACATTTAATTCATAGCGGACAGTTTGCAAAACATTCTGCTAGATGCAATTAATGCAATTCAATCAACCTGAAAGTAAAACAATAAAATAATGCTTCTTTAACATAAATATTTGCGATACTCTATAAGAAAAGCCAAGCTAATTCATGCTAACACGACTATCCCGTCTACGCTAGCTGATAAAAACAACACTCTCCTGGTTTCAGGTTTAAAAGTTTTTTATTTTATTATTATAGTAACCGAGTCTTTGAACTGCTGAACCTGCAGCTTTTATTTAAGCTGAGTTTTTTTCATTCACATGATAGA